GGCGGCAGCTGACCCCACCGACACCACCGCCACGAAGGAATCCAGCCTCGTCCGTCGCACCGGTCACTGCAACGGCCATCGTGCAACTCTCGTCCAGCAAGTCAGCCAGCGCAACGCCGTCGATCGCCACGTGCACGAACACCTCGACCGCCACGACCAGCCCGAGCTCCAACGGGACCTCTTCCTCCAACGGGACCCGTTGCTATTATTCCTACGCGACTCGGCCATGCTGCGTCGATTGTGCCGTCTGGAGTAATCACGGTACGATCTATATTCTTCTCTTTCTCTCTGTCTACCTATCTCTTCTGTCGCTTCGCTCTCTATCCTTCTTCCGCGAGACATCCTCGTAATCCCCCTTTTTCGTCTTTCTCGCACGGACATATTCTCGTCTTCGAATCGATCGATTCGACGAAAAGAAGGAAGCGATTAACCCGAGTATCGTCTGAATACGCAGCCGCCATAGATCACGAGGATGGGAATTCGTCGACGGGAAGCGAGTTCAGCGAGTCGGATGAGTCGGCAGGGTCGGAAGGATCGGAAGAAGCAGGTTCGGAAGGGGGCGAAGAGGATGGAACGGATAACGGAAAGGCAGGAGCAGGGCCAGGGATCGGCGGCGGGGAGGCAGGCGGTACAGGAGGAGACGGAGGAGGAGATGGAGGAAGGAAAGGAGGAGACGACTCGGGAGAGTCTAGCAGTTGGAGCGACTCGGAAAAGTGTGGACGTCGAGGAGGATCGTTGAGGCTGGAGTTCGGCGTGGCGTCTCGGTCTCGTGCTCGTGGCCGACGCGGGCCGAGCTCGTTGGTCGGCAAATCGGCGCCGTCCAGTTTCCGAAAACGCGACGCCAACAACGGCGGTGGTCGATCGAGCAGTTCGACTACGTCCGCGAGTACCGGATTCGCGCAGAGCGTCGCCAACGGGCTGAAACTCGCTCGAACACGGGCAATCGCAGTTGCCGGCTTCCTCGCCGACGTCGACGACTCGCGCCACGATCGCGTCTGCGCCTCCTGTCTGTCGCATCGGGCTTACCAAGGCAGAGGTGACTAATCCTCGATTAATACTCGATCGCGCGTTCCTCGATCGATTTTCGACTCGATCCGAATCGTGCTCCGACGTTCTTTGGAGCTCTTCCTATGCGCGGAGTCTTCCTTGCCGGAAAATTTTCTTCTTCGATTTGGATCGAAACGAAATAAAGACAAGGAAATGATCTTTGTTCTTTCATCGTTTCGTCGTCGTTTGATTTGTCGCGCGCACCGGTATCGTACTTCGCACCACGCGAATCTCGTTCCTCGTTTGCCGCACGATCATCGCACTATCATCGCACTATCATCGCACTATCATCGCACTACCATCGCACGATAACGCACAGAGCACCGAGAGAGAACGGACGGGGTAAAAGGATGCGCGCGTGTTTTTGGGTTTGCACATTGCATGGCGTTCCTGTAACTCGAAGCATGCGTTCTGCCAACTGCGGTCGGTCGCGAGTTCCTTTTTCTCTGTACGCGGTACGCGTGTGTCGCTTAACGCAACTAACCATGCAACCGACTCGATGCGGCGCGCGATGCGATAATCGTTGCTGCGTCGAGAACGTAGAGGCAGAGCGTAACGCGGCGAGGTTAAAATTCCTTCACGGCTCTCCTCGTTCGTCAGTGTCCTGGGCCGGAGAGAGTAACGGAAGCATCGGCGCAGAGCGCCTGTCCCACAGTTTGCCGGGCAGTCCCGCGGACCGGAAGCCCAACTTCGAGGTGATCGGAAGCGCCGAGAGTTTGGTTGGTCGGGTAAGCGAACAAATCGTCGAAATATTTTCCCTTTCGGTTATAGTTGACGAGGTTCGATCTATCGGAACGACGCGTTTCGCAGGTTCTCGTGGAACAAGGACTTGGTAAATACTGCGACCCGGAGTTCGTCAGATACACGTCGCGAGAGATGCAAGAAGCGCTCGACATGACGCGCGAGGAGATGGATCGCGCGGCTCATCAGTTGCTTCTTCAAGAACGCCGAGGTCAACCGCTCAGCTACCAGTTACAGCAAGGCGCGGACCAACCGTGGACGCTACCGGGTTATCAACAGATGCCGCAGCCGACGGGTATCGGCTATCAACCGCTGCAAGAGCAACAGCCTACCGGTCCACGACAGTACCGAACGTATTATCGAGGCACAGGTAGCGGCCAAGACCCGTCGCCGGACGCGTCCGGACAACACCACCAACCGCCGCCGTCTTAACGACGCGACGATCATCTCGTCGATCGTGTTTCCAGCACGTTCGTCTAGCGTCGATCGCGCGAGAACGAGCTTCGTCCTCGCTGATTCTTCGATCGGACCGAACAAACGAAGTTACGAGCACCGCACGAACGGCCGCAGGAAACGCGGCGAGATGACGGGTCCACGCAAGCAATAAAGCGACGAGAGCAACGACGAGCTCGAAATCTCGCTACTTCGCCGGAAAATTATCGGTCTAGCGAGACGCGTTTCGAGTTTCGTCGCGCTTCTCCGCGCGATCGTTCGAACGAATCACCGTAACGCGAGGGAGGACGGCGGAAAATTCGCGGCAAGCGGAAGCGCGGACGATCAATTCTTGCATTGCTCTCGTTCGTATCGTAAACACTTATTCCTTCGATTACAGTTCTTTAGGATAATTGAACTCATTATTATTACTCTTCGTACGACGGATTCTAGACGAGATAACAAGTGCCTAAGTATCTGTAACTTCTTTCGGACCAGAGAAGACTTTTATCAACTTAGACGAAGTACCATTGTCGCGAATTACCGAACAAGCTGCGTGTCGAATGTGTACGCTACTACATTGTAACTATACATATACATATACTTGTACATACATATGTATGTTTCTATGTATGTATGTATGTATGTATGTATGTATGTATATTATTGCTCGTATAATATAACTGTACATATACGTTGCGGATATAAGAGGTTGATGCGAGAGAATGAATGGCCGATAAACGCGGATGCCACAAGGTTCGTTTGTACGTACAGACGATGGTAGCGTATGACCGATCGATCAAACACGATTATCCTTTTCGTTGCGACAAAGGTCCCTTCACCCAAGGATGGACGAAATTACCGTTACGAATTACGATTTTACGTAAGACGAAGGAGAAATTACGAATAAAAAATGTCACGCGGAAAATCAGTTATTTACAAAGGATGAAATTTTTTGCGACGAACGCGTTAACCGTGACGATCGAACGACGCTACCGTAAATGTCACTGCTATTCCTACGTATTCCTCTACAAATTTTTACGTATTCCTTCGAAACGATGGATCGAGTATTCTCTCTTTGGTACTCTATACACTGTTTCTGTACCTTTACGAGACGTCTAGCGCGAATTACTTAATCGCTGCGTACGTATAGTATCAGCTCTCCGAGGGACGCGAGCTCGAGACCTTTTTTAACCTCCTTTTAATTCGCTCGTAACAGAGACACGTTGTTTTTCGGAAATTTTCAGAAATTTTATGAAAGGTTCATGGAATTTTCTCCGTTCCTTTCTTATCCCGTTTCAAAATCGAATGTCCCGAATTGCGCCTCTAGGAAATTTCCATTGGTATATCGTTGTAGCCGCGAATGCGTATGTGTGCGCAAGAGAAAAAAAGAGAGAGAGAGAGAGAGAGCGAGAATGATGAAAAGAAAGAGAGAGAAGAGCACGCACAAGAATGTACGTTGTTGTACGCAAGAAGCAGATCTCGATTTCGATCGCGATACGCTCGACGATCGAATCGGCGAGAAATCGTTCCTTTCCACGCACAAATTTTATTCGCGACAGGAACGAGAATGCTTCCCGATGCGAAGCTGATCGCGCGATCCTCTTGTTCGATCACCGACTCGAACATCCGCATCGAATACGCGACGCGTGATCGGAAGAAAAGGTGACAAACATTCGATTGCCCGATTTTGTGAATGTTCCCTCGATCGAATCAGTTTATTCGGTCCGAAGAAAAGCGAAAACATTTTTGACACGTTTTTCTTGTACGTCGAGGCTCTAGGAATTCGAGTTTGCTCTCTGGGCGATCGGCGATCGCGAGAAATAAGAAGAAAAAAAAGAACTCGTTCGAGAACGATGGACATACTATGTTTCGATAAACGCGAGATATTTCCGAAGACGCGCAATCAGCTTCCGCCGTTCTTTCTTTCGAAGCGTGTGCAATGTGTCATGGATAAATACGATTATCGAGAGCGCGGAGTATTTTTTGGAGAAAGTCCGAAACAATCAACAGCGTGAAATTTTTCGTGTACCTAGAAACGACGTCGACAATAATTTTCATCGATGACATTTACAGAACCACGTTTCTCCGAAACTCCTCTCGGCGCTTTCTCCGTTTTCGACGCGTCCACTATCGCGTTTATCTTTTACTCGACCGATTAATCGAATAGGATAGCCGGTGCTGGGAGCGAAGTACACCGACCGATCATCTACCCTGATCTCTATCGGGAGTCTCGATCGATCGAATTCCCAGAGCTTCTTTCGATTAGTTCTACTTTGTCCTGAGCGCGCAGCTACGATTCAAGATGGACGACACCGATCTTTTTAGCCGTATGTGTAGTAGTACGTGGCGTACGTGTACGCATTCTCGCAAAAGCGTAAGAATGCCGTTCGGAGAGCCGCGGTCGACGCGAGTCCTTCGCCACCAAGGGAACCAAAGCGAACTAAACGATATTTCGAAGAAACGAACAAATCGACGGATGCGTCTTTGAACATTTTCTCTTAGAGGTACGGATAATATAGGTAGAGGTGGTGTGTGTGAGGAGCCGGCACGACGATGGTTGCGAGACGCGAGTAGCGAGTAGCGAGTAGCCGCTTGATCGAGTCGAATCGAGAAGGAAACGGATCGACCGAACGGAAAGAGAAACAAAAGTTTTGTACAAAACTAAAATCTAACGATGCATCTGCCGATAAGTGGCGCACGAGGTATTAACGATATTCGCGTACGCGCGTGTATACATAGTCGACCTTTCGTATTCGTTTTTTCCAGCGTCTTTTTAATAATTATGTATTTGTCTATAGCGATCTTTTTATACTGTTGTAAAGTGGCATTTACACCGATCCGTAGAATATACGCGTAGAGGGGACGTTCTTACCTATCTTTAAATCGTGATGCGTCGCATCGCAGACGGTGCACGAGACATCGATGCCACCCAAATAGTTTTAAACGAACGCGTTTAGGAAGACCAAAATTTTCTACGTTACGAGACTGATGATTACCGTTGCGCGTATGACCGATCGCCGCATGCACCGAACGAAACCGACTACGCGAAACTCGCGAACAACCGATCCCTTCGATGCCTTCCTTCGACCTCGATAGAGGTATAGCCTGTCCGTCGAGATGCACTCGTCGCTCGTGCCACCACTCGTAAATACTTTTTACGATATCGGCGATTCTCAACCACCGAAAAACGCTCGATGTGCAACAATCATTATTTCGAATCGGTTTTTACGATCGCGTCGACGATTGTGTCGTTCGCCGATCGACGCCGCGTCAAATGTCAAGCGTCCCGTGCGCTATCGAACAACAACAAATAAATAAAACGAACGTACTTCGACTGGAAAAAAAAATTGAAAAATCTTGCTCGACGATGCGTTTTTATTCGAGCCATCAAAATTTTGCCACAGCACTTGGCACTCACACACGCTACTCGCGCCGTTTATTTTTATTAAGACGTTCTTATATCGACACGGTAATAGAACGATGTTCGCGCGAACATTATCATCGTTTTTTAGAAAACATATTCGTTAATACACTTCGATGACGACTCTCGAACCATCGATTTCGCATGATCGGAAAGTCGCACGATTCCCCTCTTTTTTCCTTCCCTTTTATTTCGATTATTACATTTTCGATACCGGTCAACGCGATCGAACCTTTGATATTTCGGACCTGAAATTTATCGAATATACGAACAGTAATTGGAGAGCGGTATTTGCGCGATACCGATCAAAAAATAATCTACAGTTCTAGAGAGTTCCCAAAAGATACATTCGGGGAAACGTGCTCCTTTCCATTCTACGCGACGCATATATCTCGTTGACGAAGATAAATAAATGAAAAAAAAAAGAAAAAAAAAACAGAACGAGTAGAGTCGCACCGGTTACGACGCTCGTTGGTCCATTAGAAACTTTACAGAGCTAAGATCCAGAAACCTTGATATGCACAACCGACAGACACGCACACGATATACTGCCGTTTTTCTTTTCGACTTCTGCCTCCTCTTCGCTTCCGATTCGTCGAAAATCTTCATTTTCTACGTTACGAGACTGATGATTACCGTTGCGCGTATGACCGATCGCCGCATGCACCGAACGAAACCGACTACGCGAAACTCGCGAACAACCGATCCCTTCGATGCCTTCCTTCGACCTCGATAGAGGTATAGCCTGTCCGTCGAGATGCACTCGTCGCTCGTGCCACCACTCGTAAATACTTTTTACGATATCGGCGATTCTCAACCACCGAAAAACGCTCGATGTGCAACAATCATTATTTCGAATCGGTTTTTACGATCGCGTCGACGATTGTGTCGTTCGCCGATCGACGCCGCGTCAAATGTCAAGCGTCCCGTGCGCTATCGAACAACAACAAATAAATAAAACGAACGTACTTCGACTGGAAAAAAAAATTGAAAAATCTTGCTCGACGATGCGTTTTTATTCGAGCCATCAAAATTTTGCCACAGCACTTGGCACTCACACACGCTACTCGCGCCGTTTATTTTTATTAAGACGTTCTTATATCGACACGGTAATAGAACGATGTTCGCGCGAACATTATCATCGTTTTTTAGAAAACATATTCGTTAATACACTTCGATGACGACTCTCGAACCATCGATTTCGCATGATCGGAAAGTCGCACGATTCCCCTCTTTTTTCCTTCCCTTTTATTTCGATTATTACATTTTCGATACCGGTCAACGCGATCGAACCTTTGATATTTCGGACCTGAAATTTATCGAATATACGAACAGTAATTGGAGAGCGGTATTTGCGCGATACCGATCAAAAAATAATCTACAGTTCTAGAGAGTTCCCAAAAGATACATTCGGGGAAACGTGCTCCTTTCCATTCTACGCGACGCATATATCTCGTTGACGAAGATAAATAAATGAAAAAAAAAGAAAAAAAAAACAGAACGAGTAGAGTCGCACCGGTTACGACGCTCGTTGGTCCATTAGAAACTTTACAGAGCTAAGATCCAGAAACCTTGATATGCACAACCGACAGACACGCACACGATATACTGCCGTTTTTCTTTTCGACTTCTGCCTCCTCTTCGCTTCCGATTCGTCGAAAATCTTCGACGCGTTTTCACGCGGAACTATCGACGATCGATCGTCGATCCGGGAAGACGAGTTTACGAGCATCGAACTTTAACCCTTTAGCTAATACGTTTTTCCAATCGAACACATATTTTCGAACAAAATGTTACTATCTACGATCGCTTCGATTTAAACGACTTTCTTCTCGAATCAAATTTCCTTCGTTTATTTCCAATATCGTTTCGTCTCGATGTCATGATTTTCTACCGATATACACAAATATTGAACTGCACGATGCGAAGCAATGTCTCGAATTCGAAACGAATCTGGTAGTACTAATCGTGGCTAAAGGGTCGATGCCGTTGCTCTGAACCCGTTTTTCTACATCTATTTATCGAAACGGAAATATTTCATACGGATCGTGTACAATTTCTCGGTACGTTTTGACGGTACCCTCGATTTCTATTGCACACCGTTCAACTTGTTCCTTGTTCGAGAAAAAGAAAACGCGACAATCGCGTTACCGCATTCCTCGCGAGACCAACAGCGAACCTTCTTCGTTACACGAGCGAACGAAACAAAGAGTAAAGGTAACTGGAATCCATATCTCGCCTCTCCATATTTATCTCTCTTTCGAATGAAGCGCGACAACCGCGACAGTCGAAAATTCGAAATTGCCTGATGGACCGTTAAGTTTAAACGGCGATTGTTGAATGTTCATTTTGTCGTCTCTCGATCGAAGCGATTGATCGATCCGAGCGATCTTACGTTTCACCGATTAACGAACGCTTCTCTAGATTAACGGTAACCGTAGGCGCCTAGAAGAATAGAATTTTTCACCGGCCAAACACTCGACGGCTGGTAATTATCTATGTATTCGTGCACCCACGGTTGCCGTTAAACCGAGACGAACTTTCGCGCGCGAATACTACACAATTCCAAACAATCAGCGTTTTACGAAATAAAATCATGTACTCTCCGCTGTAACCCGGTTGCGCTCGTCGATCGATCAATCGATTAAATCGATCGCGCGAAATTCGTATTTAACGATAAACCTACGCTCGATACTTTGCTTATTTGCTTCGTTTATCGAAACTAGTCGATTGTTCATTTTTGATCATTCGATGCAATTTTGAAGAAAAAAAAAAAAAATGTTCACTGGAATCCCGAAAATATTTGTGATTCAGAAAAACCGTCAAACGCGAAGAAACGTTCGTACGTTACGAACACGTGCATGCGGTTCCAAGATTACGCGGACGATACCCGATCGCGAAACGGATCGAACGAACTGCATGGACAACACCGAGCTGAAATTAGAAAGAAAACTAACTCGAAAGAATTGTTGTTGTTAATGTTGTCAGAAATGTGTCAAATTAAAATATAAGGATTTCAAACATCTGATATCGGACACTGTCTTGTCGCTTTTCACCCCGAACGTGGACGAATTAATAGACGTTTTCCAAAGATCATACGTATCTTTATTTATAGAAAGTATGCACGCTTTATTTCGAACGGGCCACACTGTTCTAACAATGCCGTATGTTACATTACTTACAACAGACGTTTCCAAGAGCCGTTTACAATACACATCCCCCGTTCGACCTTCGTTTTCACGGTGTTGGAACGTCGACCGACGTCGCGATAAACGTGAACGCTAGACGAAAACAACTGCCATGAAAACGAAACAACGATAACCATCGTAATTTCCTTTCGAAGCGATGCATCGAGTCGATGTGACTATAAAGAAAAATACGCGGTGGAGGATGAGAACGCGAAAGTGGCTCACCCGTGGAAAACGACCGATTTACGATTGAATTATCAGGATCGATCGCCGCCGAAGACGATACAATGCCACGAGAAAAAGATTTCATTTCTAGAAAGAACTCGTTAATTCGAGCATCGGGAATATGGATTTTCGTCTCATGCAGTTTTAACAATTGCGATTAAACGTACAATCACTAAGCGCGATCGTTCTGTTGCGTGCAAATGACACGATAATTTCTAGAACCGTTGCAAACCGTGCGCGTACAAGCTAAAACAAGGCACAGGTATAATACAACAGGCAACATTCGATGAAACCAAAATTAGAATTCGTTTTCCCAAATTTCAATGAACCACTTCGCTTCCCTAATGGATTTCATTCACGAGGTCGTTCGTATCGGAATTCAATAAGTTAAGAAGAATGTTCGCTTTAAAAACAACCTATTATTATTTCATTACTTGTGCCGCCTTCTTTGCCTTAACCAGTTCGACCAGCTCCTGTAAAAGATACAAAATTTTCACGATCATTGCATCGGATCTATGTACGCGCGAGTATCGGCGCATTTCGCCATCGAAACTTACCTTATACCTCTTCATACACTCTTTTTTCGTTCTAGTTGGTATACACGCTGCTATCTGATCCCACCTATCGGGCACGCTAGTGGGATAAGTTTTCAACGCTTGTTCCAACAGCTTCTGCTCCGCCGGTGTCCACGGTTGAGACTCCTTTTTCGCGTCCTTTTGCTCACCACCGACGCCGTTCGAAATAGGATGATCCAAACGTTCCGTAACGGCTGGCATACGATCCTCGACCGATTCCTTCGCTTTCTTTTCGGCGATGAAATTGTCGAAAGCTTTCTTGTTCGCTTGCTCCTTTAGACTCGATTTACTAAAATCTGTCGACTGCAAGTCTTTCGCTTTAGCGAGAACTTCCTTAGCGTCGCGCGTTACGCGGCTAGACGAGCTGCTATGCTGATTAATAAAGTTAGCGACCACTTCCCAGCGTTGATTCGTACCAGCTGGGAACAGATTTACTGCTTTTATCAAAAGCTGCAAGTCGTTTTCGTTCCACGGAGCCGTATAAGATTTCACTTGTTTTTCCGGAGTGTTTCGCGTGTCGACGGACACAACGGCAGCTCGACGCTCAGCTTCGATTTTCTTTTCGGTTTCTTCCACGATAGCGAGAAACGCTGATCTACCCTCAGCTTGTAGCTTTCTCATGGCTTCCTCCAGTTGAACGAGCTTGAAAAGTTCGCAGATTTTCTCTATGCTTTCCATGTGTTTGATACTTTCGGCCGAGTTCTCTGCAAAATAATTATTGGCTTTGCAAAAATCTCTCAGTGCTTTTCTTTCTTTACGAAGCGCTTTCTTTTGCGCTTCCTTTTCTTGCTTCAGCGCGTCCAGTTTCGCTTTCTCCTCGATCTCTCGCTTCTCCTTTTCTAATCTTTCCTTTTCCGCAGCGTTTCTCGCTATTCTCTCCTCTTCTTGCTGCCTCGCTTTCGCAGCTTCTTGCTTCGCTTTCTTCGCAGCTGTCTTCTTATCCTTATCCTCCTGCTGAAACTTTTTTATTCTAGGATCCATATTGTAAGCCATATCGACCAAAGACCGTATACGTGCCATTTCTTCCTTCTTCCGTTTCGCTCGCGCAGCTTTGTTTCTTTTCTCGATCCATTTGCGCATATCTCGACTAAACGAATAGATGATTATGATAAAAACGTGTCGGCCTGTGTACGAACAACGGCAGAAATTCTACAGAAATATACTTACTCTTTTCCATTTTCTTTGTCTTCTTCGTCCAAGTAAGAATATTCGCGCCACGAATCGAAATCGTACCAGAACGAGTAAAACTTTTCCACCTTTTGCCTGGGTGTGTCTGGTCCACCTAAACGTGGCACCGGCTTTTTCACCGACCATCTAGCATTTTCCTTAAACGCTTTACCCATTGCCACGTAAAAGTTATTTTTGCAGTCTTTCTCGTCCGGTAATTCGTCGTTAAAATACGGGTCTACGCTGTCGTAGCTTCTCCTCTTTGCAGGGTTGCCCAGAATTTCCCATGCCCGTGTTATGCAGGTAAAATAATCGTCGTCTGCCCGGATTTCCTCTCCCATGGCCTTACGTTTATCGGGATGATGTTTAAGGATTTTTTGCTTATCTGTAATTCACGCATCAAATACTCCTCAAACGCGTTAATCATTGTATCGAGAAAAATAGTGAACGATATATAACACCTACATTCCTTTACAGAGTATACTTTGAACTTTCTCTACGTACAAGCCCTTTTTATAAGATCTTCGGTTGCTCTGTGTCTGAGCTTTTTCAAGCCCAATACCGCGTAATGATCTTGATCTTTCCACTCCTTTGGATCCAACGACCTAAGGTACTCAAGATCATCTTCGAACCGATACTGAGAAAAATCTTCTTCGTCTGACGATTCTGATACCCTGGTACATGTAAGGCTGCGATGAAATTGAGCTGCCCATGCTTGCGCGGTTGAATACAAAACAAGGGGTCCCGCTGTACACGTTTCCATCGTAGATGAGTCTAAGGATAAAATTTTGAAAACGTCAAAACTTATTTTTTCATAATGTTTAATCTGAATTTCTTTAAAATAATCCGTTATGCGCGTGTATGCAACATAGTATTATACTTTGCGATAGGACATTTAAATGTTGGCAAATTTAAGGTCACCTCTACTATTTTCAAAAAAAAAAAAAAGAATTGAAAAAAAAAGAGAAAACTAAGAAACATTTCGATACAAATACTGCTCAATTTTTACGTGTTCCCTAATATTTCAAATATCGTGAGATTTTACAAAATCGCTTCGCACTCTCAAAAAAAAAAGAAAGAGCTAATGTGCTTCGACTAATCTAACCTCGTATGGCCGGTGTCAATAAAAAAGGAGACGTTTACAAAAATTTTAAAGCTTACCAGAGACCGCATTGAACCTACTAGAATTTTCCTCGCTTGTAACGTTTGTCATCGTTAATAATTACACTTTCTCTAACAAAAATAACTAAGAAAATCGCTGCAAACGAGTAAATGAACTTCACTATCGCATTACGAACATCTCGATAGAAGACGAGAAGGTTACTTCGAATTTTGAGGATACGTTAGTACGAATAACGACTATACAACCTACAAACATCGATCACGCGATAACGTGCATCACATTTTACATACATATATAATTCAAAACTAAACATTTTTGATAATCAAAACTTATTCGTTTAAAGACTGCATATATATACACTTTTTTAATTACAACAAACACATATGAACAGAAGGAAATTTACATATTTGGTGTATCAAGGGTAAAATGGTGTAAAAGCAATTTTTTTTTCTTTTTTAAATATATTTGTGAAAACATTATACATAAGGTACGAAGAAATTCTCGTGTAAACATTCAAAAATATAAATATTATAGTAATTGTTCTTATTGGGACCATACTTTGGACGGAAATGTCATACCTTGGATTAACGATAACGCTTTCTTTTGGGAAGACTAGGGGAGTATTTAAATCTGTTGATACGAACAGTAGTACCTTTTCTTTAACTCTTAAAATATACGAAACGACACGTGATAAAATTCTTTGTTAAAGCGACAACAAAATCGTATAATTCAACAGAAGTTTATACACTTTAAAAGGCAATATTATCGAAAAGTCGGATGAAAATTATATAAAATTCTAAATTATTAGTCGGAAATAAATTAAAACGCGTGGACTACAAAATGTACGGGATCATCCACAAAAACAGTCAAATATGTAAAAAAAAAAAAAAGAAAACGAAAGAAACGATGCACGGGATTATGCAATTATCATTAATTATGCTGAATAACGTAATTAACTTGAACGTCGGAAAACGTGAAAACGGAAGAGCATTTAATTATCTACTGATGCCCGGGTGATGACAAACGTCTCTGTGACTGGTAGGGGTTTTGCAGCAAGCGCGGTGAGCATTCAATTACTCGCAACAACAACGCGTCTATATAATCTTCCAAGTCATTTAGGCGTTTCTTCTTCTCCGTTACTTCCGCTTGGAGTTGCAGCGCTAATTCTATGAGATCCTGCATTCGTGAAATGATGATCGATTATCACGCGATGTCATAAATATCGATTTGTAAATAAAGATAATAGAATGTATAAAATCTATTTTTACCTCTCTCGATTTTCCTTCAAATTGGGTAAGAACTTCGTGCGGCAGATGACTCTTGATTAGCGTAGTATTCTTAATCGCATCTTCACCTCCGATGATAATTCTTTCCGAAGATAGATTATTAACTTCGTTCAACTCTTTTAGTTTATTTTCTTTCTCTTTCTTTCTGTCCTTTCTCAATTGCTTTTCATCCTTAGGACTCCAACGACTGTATTTGTCCTCTTTTTTCTCCTTCGACTTTTCCTCCTTCGCAGACTTTTCTTTGTTGGACATATATTTTTCATCCCTGTTCTTGTTCTGCGCAATTTCACGCGGTGCTGGACTAGGAGGTTCCGGAGTTTCTTGAAATTTCAAATTCGAGTTGGGCGTATTTATGGGCGAATTGTCACGATGTTCGTCCTTTGGTTCGTCTACTATGATCTTTGGACTTTGCTTGTTTTCCCACCTTCAAAAAGCACATTGAAATTTCAAATAAGAGCTTCCATTCAACGAGCATATTTGTCCTAGAAAAAATTGTACCTTTTAACAGAGTTATTCGCTTGTTTTCCATAAAGCTTAAGACCCCACTCGTCATCTTTTATATTATCGACCTTAGATAAAGAAGTGGTGGAAGAGCTCATAGAGTAACGTGGCGGTTTACTAGGGGCTGCATTCGTTGGTACAGATGGTACGTGATGCGTATCGCTAAAATTGTTACCGGAAGAAGCACTCGATGTCACCGAACCTACGCTGTTGTGATTACCGCCAACTATCGGAGCGTTCAAAGACGATGCCGAACTCTTGTGAGACAAATCGTCAAACTGAAACGAACACCGATTCTAATTACAATTCGCGACATTTAGACGCAACGGCGCGTTCGTTACACGGATATAAATTGTACCGTAAATTCGTCCTCGTCCTCGCTGATTACACCAGGGTCAGCTTCGCCAGGTTCCTGCCGTGTAGTTCTGAATCTGTGTTCCTCCCTTTCGTCGAGATCCTCTTTTTTGTCCAAATTATGTTTGCTTTTCCCCTTCACACGATTTCCGATCGACTTTGCTAATTTTTTCAATCCTTTACGCTTCTCGAAGCTACCTATGCTGAGTAAACTGCCGCCAATCGAATGAGCAGCCGTAGATAACTGACCGAGGGAACTCTTGTGGCGTTCTTTGTGACTCAGATCGGTTAAACTACCAGCTTTCACGATGAAACTTATTTTTACTTCGAGTTCGCCTCTTTCTTTCGTATTCTCTTTGCCTGGTTTACTTCCAAGGGTGTACCTGGAAAAAAATTCAATATTTTCAGACATTGAACGATTATCGGTTTGATCCGACTATTCACGGAAACTAATGGATTTTTTATCGCTTCGAGATGCAGGGAGGAGCGGCGATATATCGACCATACCATCTGTTCCTCGGTCTCTCGTACACGTCGAAGCTGGAAAGAGGTATGCTGACTGTGCCAAGGAACTCGTCGACTCCCAAGAAATTACGATGAAGAGCGGTAAGCACGATTTCAGCGGTGTTTCCTTGTTCCGGGATAAGTAATTCGCATTCCTCGTGCCATTCTACGTCTTTCGAGGCCTTTTCCTTCACGGACGTTTGATATTTTTCTTTCCCAAGGGCAATCGTCACGAAACAGTCGTTGGTCTCTGCGTTACATACACGAACATATATTATGTAGGTTAAATCGAACAAGTATTTAACGTGGGAGGAGATGGTCAACCACAAAGGTTAGCGTTAACAAGCCACGTAACGAGCATTTAAATCTCGCAGGAGAGAAGTTCTATTGTCTACTTATTGTTCGCATGAATTACCTTCGCGCGATTCGTAGCATTTTTCCAAGACAGTGCTAATTTCTCGTTTTTTCATTAAATTTCGAATTCTTTACATATCATCTAACCAGTACATAATGGAAATGTCCAACATATTTTTTTTTATTCGCTTCTTCGTTTATCGCATCAGTATGGAGGTATATATGCAAGTAGGTTATTCTGTTACGCGATCTGTGCGGATTACGCGTATAAAATGTGTGCGCGTTTGCATATGCCGCGAAATTCGATTCGAATGTAGTGACAGTATGACGCAATGTTGGTAACGTTCGTAAAACAATTCGTTTTCCATTGTTTTGAAATTAGACTCGCCCGAACGAGCAAAAGAACCGACACGAACGAATCGTCGTTTCGCGACGACCTTTCCAGTCGAGAGGCCCTAACGCGTACTCTAAACTGGGCTAAAACGAGCAGAATTTCCATTGCATTTATATCCCATTATATAAATCTTGTATCGCTAATGTAGTAACCGTTAATCGAGATACTTACTATGTTTTCCTTTGGTTAACAAGTTTTTTGCTCTCTGAACTGTGAACAGAAAAAAAGGATTTGGTTAAAAATTGTATATTTTAAAAAGAAAAAGAGAAGGAAAAGGGGAGAGAGAATGTTATTTATTGCACAAAATATTCTTAGTCATTTTCAAAATTTTATTTCAATCACGGACATTGTTTTCAATCGATCGAATTTTCTTCGATTTCAAGTTCGAGATAAAGAGCAATAATAGGCTTAGCCAAAAACATCTTTGGTACATGTGTCAGCGCAGATAAAATATAACACAAGTTGAAATACAGTTTAAGCGCGATTAAATTTCGATATGCTATTAGGTTAACGCTTCGTGGCTCGTTTTTATTCGACCAAGTTTCTCTTTGCTTTGAAAGTAATTTTCATTGTTCCAGTGTTCGTGATAACATTTTGCAAAAACGCGTCATGGATAACGAACACGACACTCACCTTCCTATCATATGTATCATGGTAAAAGCGCCGAACATATCGATACTCGTTTATAATTCGTAACATCCAAAAACAAATTCGATATATTTTTTATCTTTTATTATATTCGATTCGTTATGATCGATAAATGGTTTTTGCAGAGATTCCCGTGTAACGATCGCTAAATTTCGCTCAACTTTGCTTGCGGTGAGATTGATCGCAGAATACTATGAAAATGCATCGTTTTCCTGATTTCTCGTCGAACAAAGTCGACCAGTTGAGAAAATCGACGCTCTCGCTGCGTTCTTCCACGAGTCCGAAGAGCATTCACCACAGCTGCAGCCGAATACCGTTTACTCGGGAAGGAACATTCTTAGCGGTTCAAGATTGCGACTACCGAACTAATTAAGTCGAGGTACTTTCGTTTTTTACGGGCAAAAATCGTTTGGCGATTCATCGCGCGAAACAAAATAAAATGAATGTTGTCGAAACCCCAAAGATAGCGTTTATACGCGATTTCAGAAGCTCGAGCCAAAGAAACGAAATATGTATTTAAAAATTGTTAGCAGTCTACGAACTATTAACTGCGTCAACTACACGGCAGAGTGACAGGGTTTGCAAGTATACAACTACGATCCTGGGCAGAAGACAGGTACGCGAATAAAAAAGGGGGACATCAGCTGCTTCTACATATGCTTTCACGCTGCCTGGTTTGCATCGGAACGAAAACGTTAAAAGTTCAGTTTACGCGTAAACGTATTATCAGATAGAATTAATAAAGAACACAAACAAAATGTTTAAATATAATTGTATTTAAGTAAAAACAATTTTAAAATAATATTTTCACAACTTTTGCATTTTCAATGCCTGTACTCGTATATAGCTCATCGACCAAAAACAAGCGAACTAGTTTACCAGTCGTTGACTCATCGAATATTTAGGCCGTGGATGATCGCGCGCGTTTTAAATACATCGTCCTTCTTCTTTGGCGCGTATCAAAAACATCGTAAGGTCTACATACATAACCGTATCACGATCTTGACAAAAGACAGCTTCGTAAAGTAAAAACACGTACAGATTTGCATATCTTTCAAACGAAATACCGAAACGCGCAAATTCATATTGTGCGTGCATATGGAGAAAAAATGCGCCAATGCATACGCGAGATCGTTATCTTCTCGATTTAAGTATGTTCAAGTCTTTAAGGTATTCCAGTTTTCACCGCTTCTTCGCAATCTTTTTATCGCGTTACGGAAGGTTGCACTTGAACGCGATTAAAATTTCTATCGACGATTGCTTCTTCCAACTTTTCGAGTAAAAATCATTCGAAACAAAAATTCCTTCAAACGACTTAACGCATTCGCGTCGAGAGATAATAGTGACATGTCGGGATCTTTCGGACATGACATTCGCTGTTCATAACATATGAAAACAAATCTAAAAATCATCGTGTATCGTTAAATAATTGAACGCATAGTCGTCCCAGTGGTTTGTTGCCAAGTAAATCTTTGCCGACAAAATCGTAAAGTGTCGATCCTGTACATTCAACGAGCGATACGTAACCTAGTTCACACATAAGCGGTAGTTTTACGTTACATTTCTTCCGGTTCAAACTACGTGCTGTATGTGTCGCATCCCATGTACCAAATTTACACGGGTTCAGCGTTTTTCTACGCTTACCTGTCACTTGAACATGCGTCGGGCTCCACATTTTGTTAGATTTAGTCACGCCGTTCGATTACAAATATTCATCTGTTCCACCTACAACGAACCGATCTACGTAACCACGAGTGTCGTGATACCAAATGCTGGCATTACGCGCCGTAGCTTTTGCAACTCGATGTGCCACGCCACGGAAACAAACAACGCCAACAACAAACTACTCGCGACGCAATCTATTAACAGCAGCTATACTTGACTGATGTTCGAACAACCGCTACGTACGTCTTGCGCATCGCGCACCATTACGGTAACTACTGCGCATTCAATTTTGCGCATCCACCACGCTCACGGCTCAGGAGCGAACGATAGTCTTCGATCGCCCTGTTCTATTCTAATCGACTGGATATCTAACGACGTATCAACTCGTTTTACGACCTTGTATAATTAGCATTACGCGTCGAATAAAATACATCCGATAATCATATTCGGTGTTTTTTTTCCCAACTGTACCCACAGACGTACCCGATTTTTTATCGTTAATAAGAATAATTAATTTTTACGTAGTTCTTTGATATTTTAAGCGAGATTACTCGATCAAACATTCGCACGAATGACACTCGTAAAACGATACAACCATAGATTAGATAATCATAGTGATTCGTTATCGATAATACACGACAATAGACAAATAACAATTACGCTATCGGGCACGTAAACATTTGATATTTGTATATAGAATTTTGTGAGGAGACGAGCAGATAACCCGACACACTATGTTAATTACACATTAATTTTATACATAACACGCTACATTAAATAACATAATAAATATATGTGTAGTATGTATCTATAATACGATAATAAGAAACTGACAAGTTTTAGATTTAAACAAAGTGTCTCCTTAAGTATCGTAGAAACCATATAAGCATTGTACGCTACGATTTATGTAACTTGTCTGTGTTCAATGTTTTTCGTTGTCAGATTTTAATAAGGTTACATACGACATTTGTTAGATTATTAACGGCCATTAATCGTATGTTTTGATCGAAAATGTTTTTTAAAAAAAGAAATGGGTAAATCGAATTATTTTAGACTGACTCATTTAATCGATCGATGTCACAGAGATTACTTTGTTACGTCACGATGTCTCAGCATGATATATTTAATTATTGTTTCAGTGATTCATACGATTCATACGATTTCGCGCATTCGTAGTCGGACGTATCTTTTTACCGATCGAAAATAATTTGTAGCCCGTACAATAATCGTTAATCGTTTTCGTTTATAGTGAACAATATTTTTTTTTGTATGACTGGTGAACCACGGCGAATAATGATGATTTATTTTATGCACGCGCGTGCATAGTCCTAAATCATTGACTCACACTTGCAACAGGTGTTTCGCTCGTTGTCCTCTTCACAAGGTAAACGCGATAAATAAGGATAATCGAATAGTGGGAAATATCTTGTTTATATAAATTTATGTCACGATTGTACAATCATAGTCGGTTCCGTAACGCGTAAGTATATACACGTTGAGTGGTAAAGAAAAAATTTCGTTAATTTGTTAAACGTTTCATAGGATACGTAAATGCTATGTATCCACTTCGTAATTTGGTGAGAAGGTAGTCGAGTCGATGCAACGGCAGGTGGCGCGCATCGGTTGCCGCTTATACGATAATATTGTTTCGTCTCCGATTCCCCACTGCCCACTACGTTAGCGCAGTCAGCGTGCAGCGTTCACCTTCGTTCTCCTTGTTTCTCCCCTCCGTTTCGCCGTTTCGACGTTTCACCATCGCGCTATCTTCGTCGTTCTGGATCTTTATGTTTCTCCCTCTCTGTCGCGTTCGGTTCCTAGCTGAAGTCAGCGACAGCGTCTCGCACGGATTCCTTCGATTCCGTGTCCAAGAACGCGTCGCTTTCGATCGGCTACACCTAGATCCGCGATATTCCTAAAGATTCTAGTTGGTAATTTAGTCGTGTCGGTTGGTGCACGTGACCCCGTGTACGCGTGAACCGACCTTTAAGTTTCCAATTCCCCCACGTTGTTGCTCACTTGCCTACCGATTCAAGTCGATTCAGGATTTTCAGGACGGTGCATACCGCCAGTCGGTTCGAATAATCGCCTCGTGGCAGGTGAAGAGGAAAATCGGCGAAGCCGAGCCTGCCAACCGCATCAATCGCTACACGAGGGACGAACGGATAATAATCGCATTTCGATCGTCGATCGCCGAACACCGATCCTGGACGATCAATTATCGATCGTAGTGCCGCCAACGACGCCAACGCCGACGCAACGTGCAACGTATCTGACAGCCATCCGCGCAACGCGTAATTCTTCGTTTTCTTTCGAACAATTATCGGCCTCGACTCGTCCCGTTCACTTTTCGTTTCATTTCGTGCGCGACGTTACGACGGTGAGACATGTCTTCCCTGAAAGGTGATAAGATCCCGTGTGCACGACTATGCCACATCGTCAAGTGGGACGATTTCGACGGTTACGGATTTAATTTACACGCGGAGAAAGGCAAAAAAGGGAAAAATGGCCAATACATCGGTAAGGTGGACGATGGTTCTCCTAGTCAGGCCGCTGGCTTGCGACAAGGTGATCGAATCATCGAGGTTAACGAAATCAACATCGCGAACGAGACCCATCAACAGGTCGTCGAACGCATCAAAGCTTTCCCCAATGAGACGAAGCTACTGGTGGTCGATCAAGAAGCCGACGAATATTTCAGGGCCAACAACATTGTTATCAAGGGCACCATGGCGAACGTCAAGGTGATCAAGACCCCGGAGAAGAACCCGAACAGTGTCGAGCAAGAAGAATTTAACGGCAGCAATGTTTCTATCGATGGGGTACGTGTATTCTTTGTATTCGTTATCGAGTTACTCTTTTTAGTCGCGTCACCCGGTGCAAGACATTAATAACGCGTCGAAAGATTCGCTTTCGAATCGTCGAGTGTCCACCTGTTGCGTTGCATCTGTATCTCCGTCTCTTCCGTTTTCGTTGCTCGCTCGTTTCGAATTCTCGCGTCAGCTACTATTTCTTTCCGAAATAGCGATTCGAAAAATGCATCGAGAAATCTATGGTACATTAAAATAGGTAAGGAACTTCGAATAAAATTTTCGATCGGAAATAATCTGAAAATATGTACGTTTCCTTCGGTGAATAATTAACACGTAAATATTGTAATGAAAAACTCGCGAAGACTATTATCTTCGATTATATCTTTAGGCATGACTCACGCGTTAACGCGTCAGTTTGGTCTGAATAATAAATCATATGTTTTCTTATCGTAAGAAGAGTGTACGGTGTTATTAGTATCTCTACGAATTCGCGCTACATAACGTTATAGGCGTACGATCGTACTTGTGCCAACAAGAATTCTAATTTTACAAATAACTATGATTCAATAACCATACCTTGATTCGTTTTCTGAATGTAAACGCATTATTTCTTAAATGGTCGCCTTTATCGTACTTACGTACGGAGATAAACGCGAAAACGTTTCGCCAGACTTAGCGCTGTTAAACATCTGTGTTTACCCCAGTTGGCTAGTAGCAACGAGCGAAGAAGAAAAAAGTGAACGCGCCATACGTGGAGCGTCGCTTCGTCGTACGCGAACGGTCGAACGAATAAGTAAGAAACGGAGAGTCTCGATGCATTCGTTTTTCTTTTTCATCGATAAAAAAGAATGACGAATCACGCGAGATACGGCACGTTTTTTTATCGAACGACGATGCTGATGGAAATACGAATATTATCCGTGTCGCGGGATGCTTCTCTCGGTGTTTTCTTTTATCGGTAGGAAAGAATGAAACAAGATATTCGTCTGCTCGTTTCCGGCGAGACTCTGCCGAACGATAATGCGTACAACCGATTCGTTATCGTTATCGCAGCCTCCGCGAGCAGCACTCGCTCGCCTCACGAAACGTTCTAGTTTCTACCGTCTCTTTTGAACCGATACAAATTTTCTTTTAGCTGTTTTATCTAATCGCGGAAAGTAAATTATTCTATCAATCTTATCGGCTCGATACATATTTTCCATGGCGCATTATAGTGACCGATTCGCTTGAAATTTAATAGCGTATGTATGGATTTACTCGATCGTATCGCGCACGTTCCACAATGATCTCAACATGGTACGAAGCAAACTCAAACGCTTGAAAATTTTTTTTCTCAAGGTCTTGGAATCGCGTACACTTCACAGTCCTCGTAACTCGAATGTAATTCTTTATCTCGGTCCGAGAATCGAAGTTTCTAGAAAAAGTAATTTTCCTCTTACGATTGTCCGCGAGAGCCGACGTCGATAGAGGAAGGTGAGCGCGAGCATTTGCGAGCGTTCGCGAGTGCCAAGTGCCGGGTATCGAGTGAGTCATCTTCGCTCGCGAACGATAAGACACGCGTAAGGAATCGGTGGCGCAAGGATACATTTTTTTACGAGCGATTCGTATTCTTGTTCGTAATCGAAGGCAGCTCGTTATCGATCGATCGATGGAACAACAGGTGGATATGCGGCGTTTCGTCGTTTTACGACTTTTTACGCTTTACGCATCGTTCCGTTTAAATCGGAAGAAATGTTGTTTCGGTTAAACGATATCGTCCTAAGCATTCTCGGATGTAACGAATTACGGCGTTAATCGGCGGAAGTTCCTCCTTTACGAAACAACGCGTCACTGGCCTTAATTCGTTTTCGTGGGATCCTCGTTCGATCGTCTTCTCGCGATACGCGTTCATATCCCACGATGCACGAATTCAATCGCGCGCGAGTTATCTCGCGATCGGAAGGAAGATTCGTCCTCGGTCGATAGAATTTGCCGGATTTCCGGTCATTTTTGCGCCGTAAAATTACGTAAATTTCGCGTGGTTGTGTTCCGTCGACGGTGCGCGCCACGTAATCGAAAACACGCACCTGTGATCGAGTGTGACGTCCTTAGGTTCTTGCGTACGATTAATGGGGTGAAGTACAGAAATAAAAATAATTTATTTTCTTTACTCGGATTACATCTTGTTTTTCTTTCATGTTGCATGAACGCTGTACACGTATTCGTAGCGTGCGCTCGATAACTCGCAGAGCAAATAATTAATCTTTCCTGCAAACTGGACAATTTCCTGACACCGTTTTTGATTGCGCAATCGAACAAACGAGTGGCGTACGCGCGTGCGCAAACAACAGGGAAACGACCATTCGATGTCGATGAAACGACCCTTGAAATTTTTCATCAACGCTTAAACACCAAAAAGGAAATTACTCGATATGTTACGCATCGATTTTTACGAAATTTTACTCGTCCCGATTTATCGATAAGCACTAAGTACGATATTCGGTTGCTCTCGTAAAAATTGGGGAAGCTTTTGTTAGAAGGTTAACTATGCTACGGTAAAGTCGGTGAAATTCTGTCGTAGGAACGACTAACCTTAAAAATCCGTTACCTGTTCTTATTCGATTTTCGAAGAAAGCGTGCCAAAAAGCCAAGCTGAATACCTATGCAGCTAACGGAAATTTCCATCGCGGGAAGAATCGGAACAAGCGAGCGTTGCATCGTGTCTCTTTATGCTCGAAAACATTTAAATATACTCTTGATCAAACAATCGCGTTCTAATTTTTTTCACGCGACGCGTTCAAAGCGCAGCATTTAAAACCGATTGTCCAGTAATCCTTTACGTTCGTCAAAATTTATTTATCACCGATAAGGTTATTTTCGTTTAATTACGTGTTCATTTTTTGGCAAGAAATAATTTTTTAACCGGTATAATCGTTCTAACAAAGCTGGTAATGTACCACAATTACGATTGTCCCTGGAACATTCCGCATTCGAATATATTCAACGTGTTTCGTTCTCGTCGTTGGTTGGAAAATAATTGAATTGCAGAAACGGCGCAACAATGCCGCGACATAGATTCTCGAAGTTTTATGGAAGTCCATTACCTCATCTCGATGCATAAACACCATGTTTGCATGCGACTGTCGTTTTTCGGTCGGTGTGTTGGTAATCGATAGCGTTAGTGGTTACGCGTCAACACACCGCCGTTATTAATTAGTTTCTCGATTCTTGATGTCACTGACATCTTTTCGACGTGGCTCTCGAACGCGTTATTATTCGACGAAAGGTTGCGGCGACGCGTCGCGTTCTCTACGATCGAAAAAGTTTAGCGAATACGGCAAAAAGTTTTTTCTTTTTAATCCCGGACACGATAGAGATGGACCGACCAACGTTATTTAGAAGAGATTTAAACGGTTCATGGCTTTGGAACCGGTTCTCCCGTCGTCGCGCGCTTGCCTTTAGTCGATGGAATTTCTTTAAGTACCGTTCGGAATATTGCATCAGGAGCCAAGGTCGTTAGACGTTTCTTCGACAAATTTCTGCCCCGTTTTTCATTAATGGACCCCTCTGCCCCGTTCGTTTCTTTCGTTTCAAGTTCGTTTCAAGTTCGTTTCTTTCGAACGGTAAGGAAGCAACGGCGCGACACAAACCGTTGTTAATTACCGCGTCCACGCTTTTACTTTCTATCGGCGAGCGTTAAAGCGAAACGTTTCTCGTTGTGTAACGCGGCCAGAAAATCGAAGCGTGTCTCGCTCGAGTACGCCATTAACAGCGTATTCGGCTACGAAGCGTACGAAAGCATATACTCGTCGTCGTTGGAAACAACGTTTGTTTCCTCGACTCGACTCGACTCTGGACGTTTGGAAGCGCGTATTTAGAAGGAAAAAAGTATTATTTTTGACCTTGATACGTGACGCGCATCTGTTTCGTTCATACGGTTTTCCAATACCGATATCGACATTCGATGTTGGTATCTAGTAGAAAAATTTCGACTAAACGTCGGAAAATTGAACGACGCGACGTTGCGTTTACTCGATAGTTAATATATGTATGTATGTACGGGTAAAAAGAATGCAAATAAAATGTGACGTTTGTTTTCAGAACGCGCAGAAGTCGAGCGGTTCGAACGACACGTCGCGCAGCGAGAGCAGCACGGTATCGGCAGGTGCGACGAGGAGCTCGTCGAAAAGCGAGAACGAGAGCGAACGCGAGGAGGAAACTGGTCGAGAAAACGGGAACGGCGTCAGAAACGAAAGGAACGAGAGGAACGAGATGGGTCACGTGCACGAGAGTACCGGGAACGGGAGCGTCGGTGGAAACGAGTCGCCACGACAGAGTCTGAATTTGAAGATGAGCGCCAAAGAGCTGCGGGCTCAGCTGGCTGCGCGCAAAAAGTACGACCCGAAGAAAGAATCGATCGGCTTCAAGGACAAGTTCGACATCGTGCAAAAGTTATAATCGCGACCGAGCGATTTTCGTCATCGGATTCTCGATGATCTCGTCGACTCATGCGGCGCGGTGCTTCTTTTCAGGGTCGGAATCCGTGCGCGCTTTCACCGTTCTACTATTTCCGTTGAACCGTGCGTTTACCAGATACGGTCGTCTATCTCGTACGACTCGAAAAGCGTTCGAACCGATCGTACGCTTACCAACTTGCTTATTTTCCTTGTTAGACTAGACGCGCGTACTTACGACGACGATCGCGCGCGATCGCAAGGACGATCACGACGACGCGGGAGAAAGTAGACGCGTCGTGACGCGACGCGCGTCATTCTTGATTTCTGTAACCCGTTATCGAATTCAGGACACTGGCCATTCTCTCCGATCGCGTTAATCGTTCGAGAGTTTATCAACCGCGATCCACGTAGAAACGCGTGATCGGTAAAATAGTCATTCCCTCGGAAGAAAGTTTCGAAAAGAACGATCGCGATATTTAACGAAACGACGGTAGCGGATTTCATTCACCGGAGTCGAAATGACTTTACGTAACGCGAGAGATACGGTAACAGCGTGCAAAAGTACGGCGATACAATAGTGAGAAGATTCGTGCGAGTTTCCACGTTCGTTTCGGTACAAAGTAAACGATGAACCGCGACGAGTCACAGGACTCGCAGGAAATCTGGTTGCTATCTAACCCAACATTGTTAAATATTACGACAACAACCTGTTGTGCAACCTTCAATTATCGTCGTCGTGATCCTTTTGCGTCGTACTTCACGCGAATACGTACACAAGTTGTTTCGTTTTTCCTTTTTCGCACGCGTTTCGTTTCGCGACGACTCGCGCGACGTTCCAAGATTCGAGAAACATTTGCGCCGCGTGATTTTCACATTTCGTTGATCGCTTTCGCCAAAACACTTTGGTCGCGCGATCGACTACGCGTTGCATTTAATACTCGATCGATAAAGCGATTTCGTGCCACATTCTTTACGTTCTATCGTAAATACGAATTTCTACGTATTCAGCGTCACGAACAAGACACGCTCTTCTCGAATTATACTCTGTACATGTGTTTAATATTCGAGATAGACTCGACGAGATCTGGCGTTTTCGTAACATCGATCGCAACAATATGTATGTTACGTTCGAAACCCGAAGAAGATGACCGTTCGATCGAATTCCTTCTAAATTCGAAAAAAAAAAAACTTTCAAACGCTTCTGATAATAAGCCTCGAATCGAAAAACAATATCCGTCGTTTTTTGATCGAGAGTCGAATCGAACCTAGACCGATCGTGTTTTCTCGATCAAAGAAAGGAGGTCGGTGGAATCGTAACGCGTTCTACGAGGCTCCGCATTTAGCGTGCTATGTAAATTCTTTGTTTTCCTTTTTCGTTTTGTTGTAATACGTTTCTTTTCTTCGGATCCACTGTATAACGAAATATTCGTTTTTGTAAATATATAAGATCTTCGTATCTCGAGGTTGATGCAACGATCAGAAGAAACGATTAAATTGGCAGTCGGTAAAGCGAAAAAAAGAGAAAAAAAAGCGATCGTCGCGATGTTTTAATACCTAAACATTATTGTCCATGTACCTCGATAAATTGTTATCGAGACGAAAACCAACGATATCAGCGTATCATTAATCCGAAACGAAAACAGTGAATTTAATCTCGATACGTTGAATGTATCGCTTTAAAATTTGGAAAGTTTTTCTCGCGAAACGTTGCATCGATATCTTGGTATTATATGTATATAAATATTTCGAGTATGACATAAATACGTACACACGTTACGATTATCGCACGCATTCAACATAATTTGTAAGTGTAACTTTAAGCCTTACGTTTGACGATAAGACTTAGTTGTACGTGGCGCATAAAATTACGTTTATTTGCGTACGTTTGTGTATAAATAGTACTGTATGTATATAGTTGTTGTCGTTTTATGTCCTTCCCTCTGTTATTCCTTTTCTTAAATGCTTTATTGAGCGAAGCTCTTATACTTAATCTTCCAACTTCTTTGCCCGCGTTTTTCTTTTGCACCACTCAACCAATTCTCATCAAATTTTGCACGCACATGCGCACGTACATTCAGATGTACATAGAAAAAAAAGTATTAAGTCAGACTTGCCACGGAGGAATAATTACCCAAAAAACTGATCCTCATAGGCTTCAATGTAAAAACTGAATTTGCTCACGTTACAAATAGTGCAGTTTATGCACTAAAAAATTGGCGTCCATCTAGCGGCGAAACGGGTGAACTAAATCTAAAAAGTGGGGGTCCGAACACGTATATATGGAAAATAAAAAAATGAATATTTCGGCACTTTGACGACGTAGTATGGTTCCTGAGGCATTTAGAAACAAATTTCTATTAGGGTTTGATGCGTTTTGATGCGTAATAAAGCCAGAAAATCAATTTTTGTCGAATTCGGTCCAAAACGGTACAGGTGGCACCATCTAGCGGCGAGCGGCGGAACTACGAAACACTAAAATTTCGATTTTCTCGAAAACTAGGAACTTTTCCGAAATTCTGAGATATAC